TTTGTTATAAAGCAGAAACTGACACACCATTGTAAAGCAATTGTACTCTAATAAAGATAAATATTATAAATATTTTATAATATAAAATATATTAAAAATATAAATATATATTTTATAATTATAAAAATATATTATAAATATATTATATTATAAATATAAATTAAAAAGTGGCTTCTGTAGTGTAGGGGTTAAACACTGAAGTAGGTATAAGATAGATTGGAAGAAGTGGCATAGGTGAGAGAATATAGACAAACCTTGAAAGAGTTTTGCTGTATAGGAGAGCTGAGAAAAGGGGTGACTGCTGGAAGGGGATGTGAAATCAAAAAAAGATTTTTAAATGAGAAAAAGTACAGCATGTTTGTGTATTCCCTATTGGGGAATGATCGAAAGAGAAGAGTTGGTTGTGGAGATAAGAGTGTCCTGCAGGTCTGTATGAGGCATTAGTGACCAGGATGACTACAGACCAGGATTTCTCAACCTTGGCATTATTGACATTTTGGGCCTGATAATTCTTTGCTGTAGGGGGCTGTCCTGTGTATTGTAGGATGTTTAGCAGCATCCCTGACCTCTACTCTCTAGATACCAGTAGCAATCCTTAGTTCTGGACAACCAAAATGTCTTCATTGCCAAATATTCCCATGGGGTAGAGAGGGGTAAAATTGTCTCTGATTAAGAATTACGGTTATAGGCTGATGATGGGAGTTTCAAAGCTGGAATTGTTTTAGGGAAGAGGACAAGTGAAGAGTCTGGGAGTAACAAGGAAGACACCTAGCCCAATCCTGGGTCCAGTGGTTTGAGATGTGTGTAAAAAAAAAAAAAAAAAAAAGAGGTTGTGGTCTGAGAAGGCTACAGGAGATAGCCAGTTGGTGTTCAACTAGAGCAAGAAAGTGTTCAGTGGAAGTTGAGAGTAGATGTTCAGAATAGGAGATTTTGCTGAGTACGAGTTCCAGAGGGTAGGCAGAATGGTTTCAGGAGTCCAGTAAGAAAGAGAGATGGAATCTGAAAAGGGGTGGCATGATGAGTTAGTTTTGATAGTCTCAAATTAGATTTGGTTGGTGGGTCCCTGCCTGTTGGGTGGGAGCAAGGGTCTTAGTAAGAGCGTACAGATCAGGGGTCACCTCTTCACTCCTGCCAGTGGTGTGTGGAGGCCATATAGCGCATCGAGATACCGGGATCCTTTCTAATTCCTAAACTTGAAGGGTTCCTAGAGGAAATTAAAGTACATGATGCTTTGAGTGCAGGCGATAAGATGTGTGTACAGGTAATTGCAATGTAAAGGAATATGCTGAGTCCCCATTGTCAGAAGAGAAATTGGGAAACACAAATTATGGCAGACATTCCCCAAAACTAGACAAGGCTAATACTGATTTTGAGGTTTTTACTATTGCAGAGTGAAATGAGAATAATAAGTAATATGAAATGAGTTTTTACAACTGACCTTGCATCCTTGTGAGATATACTAATTTTTATTTTCTACTATTTGAAGTTAAAATATTATTTTAAAAATACAAGACAGTAAAAGTATATGGTAGGGGTTTGGGGGGCTTTGTTCTAATCATCTTCACTTCCCAGAATAAAAAGTTGGAAACCATGTGTTTCCAAGGAATTCAATTTAACAAATATTTATTAAGTGCCTCCTCTGCACCAGACACTGCTGGTCACTGGGATACAAGGTAAACAAAGGAGACATGATCCCTGCTTGCATGGAGGTTACAATAGTGGATTCCTGTGGACATTTGGGTTATTGTTGTTTTTATTTTTTGTTATAAATAATAGAGCAATGCACATCTCTAGTTAACTTTCTTTCTTAGGCGAGGTTCTCAGATTCCGTATTACCCTTTAAGCCGTCTTTTCTCAGTAACATTATTATTAAAATATTTACGTCTTGTGAAAATAGTCTCTGAGAAAATTGGTTATAACAACCTATACAGCTTATATTGAGTTAATCCTGTTCATTAATTTTAATACACTTTCTAGATGTGAAAAAACTACAACTGAGATATCATAACCAACTGTAAGCAAGCCATTTTTTGTTGATTGTTAAAACTGCAGCTTTTGAGGTTTCTTCCGAGCTTTCAAAATTCTTAATAGTTATACCCTCCACCTCCACAAGATGGAGTAAAAGTTGTAGATGGGAGTTTCAAGTTTAACTTGAAATTGGAGCTTGCTTTTTGTATTAAATATCTTTGCCTGAAAATCCAGAACATTGATAATATTTATATATCAGGCCCTGGAAACTGCTGTGAAAATTCACACAGCCTCTCTGTGTGTCAGAAAGGTGATTGTTGTCCTTTAACATGGCAGATACACTCTTCTGATGAAAAACTTTGCAGTGTCCCTTTCCTTTTCTCAGGATATAAGAAGCAAAATTAGTAATTAGAAAGTCATGATTCCTTTTTGTCGTGTCTTGGTTGCAGGGGCTGTAGATTTGATTGTTCAACTGCAATGAGTAGTTTTAGGCAAAGGGTGGACATTATTTCATTGCCGTGTCTTGTCCTTTAGTTGGCCTTTGTTTTTTTGAATCTTAGGTGCCCTTGTTTGTGCCTTTGGCCCTCTGCTACTGACTCTCATTATTTAAAATATTAAATCAGAATTTGTACTAATTACATAAGGACTTTAGTAAAGTTTATTTTGTTCTTGCCACTCAAGAAGAGAAAAGGAGGTCATTTCCAAGTTAATATATACTTTTAAAAGGTTATTAGAAAAACATTTTAGAAGAACTCGTTTTCTTAAAGATATATGACATTTCTGCATTTGTTTGATTGTATCTTTGTGGGGTACAATTTGACATTATTTCTCTTTTTCCAGTATTTCCTGTAAACTGATAGATCTAGAGACTTAATTAGATTTGGCGCAATTCCTTGCCAAAATAAAAGTTACTTTTACTTTGCTTGGCTTTTTTTCTCATGTGAATATAAATCTTAGCTCTGCATAAATAGGTGTTAACCTATATTACCCAAATGTAACTTTGTTAATATTAGCTCTGTCTGCCTCCCCTGGTCTGCTTTAACTCATGGAAGGCAAACAAGACTGCTGAAGACTTACCCATGTTTTTCTAGTGGGATTTACTTATATCTGGTGATTTGGCACACCGTTGTCCAGTTTTCTAAGTCAGGAAAGTGTGAATATCAGTGGAAATAGATTAGACTTTACCATGTGAAAACTAATTCTGTTGTCTTCTATACCCATGTCTTCAGTTCCTTTAACATGATTGAGTACAGCACAGAATGTTCTGATTTCCCAATTTTCAAAACTGAAATTACTTTTCCTTATTTGCCTGGCTATTAGTGCAAACAAGGGGAATGTTTCTTGCCGCTATTATGTTATTTCTGAAAACTCTTAACATCTTTGATTCCTTTATCATTTTGTGTTTTAAGTATTCCATCAATACTTAGGTATTAGCATGCTGTCCTATTTTTAGAGCAGTAATTTTGCTAACAAGTTACTTGTGTTTTGAATGAGCTGTGTGTCATCACCACGGAAATAGTACTTCACTAGAAATTCTAGTTAATAAAGCTTAACTATTTAAAAATGTTTCTTTTATTCAGTATCTTTGTTTTGTTAGATAACTTTTAAAAACAAAGGTTCTTCTCAGATGTAGCTGTTAACACCTGTTTATTGTACTTTCTTCCTATATGGATGATTTGCTGTGCCAAGGTGAGGTTAAGGTATGGGATGGGAAAAGGGATTAAATAGGGTTATATTATGTTATGTTTATCCTATGATAATATAAGGAGCCCATAGGAAAGACATAATACTAACAGGTTGAAATACAATATAGTACACTCTTCTTTGTCAAGAGGCTTGTTATTCTACTGGCAGTTAGACATCTATATATTTTGCACTCTTTTTTTTTATGTCATGGGGGAAAATGACAAGGAAGTAAGCTATTGTAAAGGATTTATTTGAGAAAGTTACAGGGTATGGTCTAAGGATCCAATCTCAGTATTAATGACCTTTTCCTGTCAAGAGGAAATTAAATTATATTCAGTACATTTAATTTGCTAAGACCTAGAAGTTTAATCATTAAGAACTTATATCTTTGAATGAAGATGATTGTATCACAGTCATGCTAGATAATTTCTCCGTATAATTTCTTTTGCTCATCATTCATTTGCTTATTGATAGCCATATTTTATCTCTAGCTCACTATTCTTCAGAGTAGAGTTGAACCATAAAATACTGCTATTACATAAAGGAACCCACAAGTCTAATGCAAGAAGGAGGGAGAAAGAATAGAAAAGATAGCTCACTTTTGTTTTTTTGTATGTTTGTTTTTTGAGAAAGGGCAAAAAAATCAAGCCTCACGTGAGTAAAATTATGTCTACGCAGAAAAGCTTAGCAGCTATTAGTATGACTGGCTCTTAGCATTTATTTGAAAGGGAGTGCTATTATTATTGTAGCTTCTGTTGTAATTTTTTTTTTAATGCAATCCATCAAGTAACAGGTCAGACTGTTAAGACTCTCTAAGAGTTTAAAAATTACATTTAAGGTTATGTTTGTTACCGGAAACAATTAAGCATCAAGAGACGTGGTCAAATAAATGTAGCCAAATATTTGTCTACTATGTAGACATGATAAAAATGAGGTAGATATGCATATTCAAATACAGGAAGAGCTCAAAATATTGATACTTTATTAAATGAGAAGAGTAAAGTAAAAAGTATGTATAATGTAATCCCATTCTTTAAAATTTAAAGGATATGTTTGCTGACATATACAAAAATATTTTTGTAGAAGGATACACAAGAACCTAAACATGGTTTTATGGGCTTTTTGAAATTGTAATCATATGTATCTACTACTAAATTAAAATACATAAACAATTAAAGGTACCTTTATGTAACGAAACATTGGAAGGAGGTCTTTTAGTTTCAGATCTGTATTTTGTCCTTGGAAATAGTAGAAAAGGCAGTAAGAATCTGTGTTATATTTCTTATTGTAGGCAATGTTCTTAAATTCAGAAAACTGTTATTTAAAACAGAATTACTTTTTCCTAGGATTTCCACTTGAACAGAGTTAATTTGGAAGAGTCTTCAGGAGTGGAGAATTCCCCAGCTGGTGCTAGACCAAAGAGAAAAAACAAGAAGTCTTATGATTTAACTCCAGTTGATAAATTTTGGCAGAAACATAAAGGAAGGTAAATAAGAAAAACAATAAGTAAAAGATTCACCCCCTAAAAAGATATGCAGATGTCATATGACTTAATGGGTTTATAAAAAAAAAAATCAAAACAGGTCACAGTGGTTCATCTACACCATGAATAAGAACTGTAATTAAATAGTCTATGGAGCTCTGTCTTTATTGTTTAATTTCCTAGTTCTTATGTTGCTTTTGTTGTTTTGTGGGAGCCACTTCCCTTTTCAATAAGTTCACACCATATGATTTTATAGATTTTACAGATAGTCTTTCTGAATTTCATTTCTATCCCCATTGACCCTCTGCAGCACCATTTCTACCTTTCATTAAAATTGGTTTTTGTGATAGGAAAACATGAAGGTGTGATTTTCCTTTTTTGTTCCATGTTTGCCTTCATACAAACCCAATTTTAGATATCTGTGGAGAAAATACCTAAGCCTGAAAACAAGATTTATTCAAAGTACATTAGAAATAATAGGTGAAAAAATTTTAACAATTTGCCATGCTATTATAGGTAGATATGCAGATCCCATGTGTTGCTATGACCCCTTAAAGTTGAGGTACTTCATGAGCTTAGTAACTGCTATAAAAGTTGTCTAGTGGTCATTATGGCTAGAGGAATCATTCTAAAAAACAAACAAAAAAATCATTCCTCTGAGAGAAAAAGAATGTTGCTCATCAACAATTATGGAAATACAATGTTATTTATTATAATCTAGACTATTTCAACAGTTACTGTATCTATCTGTCTATATATATATATATGTATATCTCCCTGATATGGCTGTTCTTTTTGGTCTCATTTATGTTTAAAGAGAAGTAGGATATAGACTTGGTTCAATACAATTGGTTTTTTTGTATGCTTTATCTTTTTTTATTTATAACCTTTTTTTTTAAACACTGGAAAATCACATTGCTATAACAAAGAATTGTAGTTTCTCTGCAATGAAAAGTCACTATCTTTCTCTCTCTGACTAATGCAATTTTGGGTACTGTTATAATTTATTTTAAATTATTTTCTTCTCTTTGGAATGCTATATATAGTCTACATTTCCTTTTAGAATGGTAAAGTATAAGAATTTACATTATTTATAGAGGATGCAGGATATTTTAAAGTTAATTTTAAATTTCACATTCCCTAATAGAAAAACAAAAGCTTAAGAAAACAATTTCTTTATTCATATATGGAAATTTTGAATATTTTCTTTAGACCATATGTTTAGGAACAACTTAAGAGGTCAGTTGAATAGTAAGAACTTTAATTTTTTGTTTGTTAGGTAGGAATAGCCCTCACTCTGAATGTCATGCTACAGTAGCAATGTGGGCACAGATGCTGGGAGACAGCATAGAGTTAAACAAGCTACTTAAATCTCTCTGAGCTTCATTTTCCTCATCAGTGAAATGTGGGATGATACTTCTACCTATTGTCCTATTTCAGGTTGTTGTGAAGATTGACATAATGTAAAGTAACTTGCCCCAAATCATCCAGCTTTCATTGGTAAAACTAGGTATAAAAACCAGTTCTGGCAGATTCTAAAGTCCCTGGTCTTAGCTGTCAGTAGTGTATATGTACCCCACCAAGACTGTGGTCAGAATTAAATGAGACAATAGAGACAGATTCTTAGCATAGTGTTTGTCATACAGTCAGCACTCAATAAATACAAGCAGTTATTATCGTCTGTTAGTCCTGAGACCTAAAGACACTAGAGATTTTAAGGATCATTTAGTTCAACCAGCACATTTTACCTGCTCACTGCTGTTTTCTGACAACATAGACTCTGCTGGACCTCTGTTAGGGCCTGCAGTTGTCATGTAAAACTGGACTGTGTTTCTCAAAATCCTTTCAGGAGCTTTTTCATTTCTGTGCTGATCATTAGTGAAGTGTTATCAAGTGTCAGCGTGGAGGAAGGGGGACATGACCATTTCTTTCTTAAAGGAGAAAAAGCTGGCCTCCCCTAAGGCTGTAGATGAAAAATACTCATGTTATAGCACAGGGAGATCAGCTCGGTGCTTTGTGACCACCTAGAGGGGTGGGATAGGGAGGGTGGGAGGGAGATGCAAGAGGAAGGGGATATGGGGATATATGTATACATATAGCTGATTCACTTTGTTATGCAGCAGAAACCAACACAACATTGTAAAGCAACTATACTCCAGTAAAAATTAATAAAAACGAAACAAACAAAAACTGGGCCCATGTTCTATTTTTACCAGTGGTGGTCTAGATATTGAATTTACAGAATTAAAAGATTTTTTTCACAGTTACAGTTTTTTTCACAGCATGTAATATTTTTTAGTACATCTTTGTAGTTACATGGACTCTTTGACACTATATGTTAATTTGCCTGGTAATATTTGATTGATGTTTGATATACTGTGGTTTCTCTTACTTTGTTTTTCAGTCACTTAAATATCTTTTTATTTTTTCTAACAGTGTATAGGTGAAGAGAAAATGATACAGTTAATGAAAAGAATAGAAATAAAATTTAAATTTGTTTATATATATAAGTATTACACATTTTAAAGAAATAGTATTTACAATGTAAATAGATATCACAAGGATATATAGTAGTATTTATCCTAAATGTTTTCTGCCTGTGTTATATATAATATACATTCAAATCTAAATGAATACATTTGAAATAATAATAAATCCTCATTGTATATATTTCAAAATTCACACAAAAATCAATCTTCTAATCTCATACTTATAGTTCCTCTTGTGCAATACTGTTTCAGTCCATTCCCAGAAGTTGCAGAATCAGTTCAGCAAGAACTAGAGTCTTACAGAGCACAGGAAGATGAGGTTAAACGACTTAAAAGCATTATGGTAAGATTCTGTTTACTTTCTTGGAAATATAGGGAAGCAGAAGGACATCTGGAGGGGGAAAGAGGTTAACTTTTTTTCCTTACAAAAATTCAAGGCCATTCATTGCTTTAATAACAAAAAAATATATTCCCAACTTACATAAAAGATCTTTTTTAAAAAGAAATCTAAGTTCTAAGGAGAAGAGTGGACTCTTTAAAAAAAATAATATGAATTTATGATTTGAAAAAATATATAATGTGAGTATATTTTAGAGATATATGTTCCAGTGCTGCTCATTTTACTATATTTTTGATCTAGCTTCAAATTTCAGCTGTACTGTTCATTACTGTGTGACCTGTGGCAAGTCTCTGGGCCTACTTCTCTTTTCTTTTTTCTTTTTTTTAATAAATTTATTTATTTTTGGCTGTGCATGGGCTTTCTCTAGTTACGGCGAGCAGGGACTACTCTGTTGCGGCGCACGGGCTTCTCATTGTGGTGGCTTCTCTTGTTATGGAACACGGGCTCTAGGCGCATGGGCTTCAGTAGTCATGGCACGTGGGTTCAGTAGTTGTGGCTCGCGGGCTCTAGAGCACAGGCTCAGTAGTTGTGGCGCATGGGCTTAGTTGCTCCACGGCATGTGGGATCTTCCTGGACCAGGGCTCGAACCTGTGTCCCCTGCATAGGCAGGTGGATTCTTAACCACTGTGCCACCAGGGAAGTCTCTGGGCCTATTTCTTTATCTGAAAATGCCAGCTGGTCCTTTTTTTAGTCATCCAACCATTCATTAGATTGGTGGTGACTAGAACTTTTCTATAACTGTCAAAAATGCAGATGCTTGCTCCTTAGAAGGGAAGAATTATTATCCTGGGTGACCAGAATCTTACTGTTTATCAGTGATCTTAGGAATATATTGATTTTCATGCTTGGGCTTGGGATTTCTGAGTAGTTACTGGGATCTTTTTTTCCTTCCAGGGACTAGAAGGGGAAGATGAAGGAGCCATAAGTATGCTCTCTGACAATACTGCTAAGTTAACATCAGCCGTTAGGTAAGTAGGCAGTTTATCCTCTTTGAAATCTTTCTGTTGATAAGAATTTATTTTGGAGGTTAAAAAATTGATTAATATTTTTCATGATAGGAAATAATAGTAATAGCATATACCTTTAGACTAAAGAACTAAATTGTGTTTTTAATATGTTCAAGCTGATTTAAGTTCCCTCCTTTTCATATAGCAGATCATTTGTTCCTTTTACTAGTTAGAATTGTATAATGGGGGTAATTTTGCCACCGAGATAGTATCGCTGATAAAGTAAGGTGAGTTATTGTTAATTTTATCATTGCTGCTATTACTTTATTAGCTAAAGTTTAAGCAGTATCTTTTTCATACTTTAAATGCCATCAAGGAGAGAGAGTTTCGTGTTTTAGAAATTTCACATTAATCTGATTTTATTCTAAACCTCCAAATTTTGGAATCAGAAAGTTAAATGGTAGAATAATGATATTTGGGAGGCAGGTTATTTTAAAATAAGAAGCATTTCAACTGTATTAAAGTGGTAAATACTGTATGTGTTCAAGCCTAGAGATTAAGTTCAGTTGATAGTTTAACATGTAATTTTGTCCGTTTTACTGTTCCAAGTATCCTCAGAGGAAGCAACCAGGTGTGTGTTTTATTAAAATTTATGTCATTTCCTTAGAGAATTTAATGGTTAATTTTCAATTTTTTGATACTTGTAGTTCTTTGCCAGAACTCCTTGAAAAAAAAAGACTTATTGATCTCCATACAAATGTTGCCACTGCTGTTTTAGAACATATAAAGGTAAATTTAGCTTTTCCTTCCCCACAATATAGCTACTATTTTTGTAGGGTTTTAGACTTTGCAAGATTCTTTCATATTCATTATCTTGTTGAGCCCTCACTGTAATGTTAAGAGATATAATTATTGAAGGCAGCATTATTACCTTCATTTTTGCAAGTGAGGAAACCCATCCAGGAAGATTAGTGATTTGTCCAAGGTTACATGTTCAGTAAGGAGAAGTTAGCATCTGTGATATTTTTATTACGTTTTATTGTATTACTTTGTTAATAGTAGACCTGTATCTAAACATCAGTAATACAGATTTAGACATCCCTTTTACTATAGTACTATCTAAAATATCTATTCATTATGTAACTTGGTTCTGAACTTTTTAGTTTTAGATTAGTCTGTTAGCATTATTGCTTCTTACTGTTACCTGCTATACTGTGATTTTGAAACAAATGTATTGGATATTCTGTATGTTGTTATCATAGTTCTTTTTTCTCATTACTTCATTCATGGTAACTCTGTATCAGCTGGACTTAATCCATTCTTCAGTATTCTACTGTCATTTATTCTCTGGACATGGAACTGAATTCCAGTGACAGATTGATGATATACTAGAATGTGGCTATTACTGACCCCTACTTTCCATTTGAGATGATACATTTGAAAAAGCAATGTAAAAAAGCTGAATATGCTTGCTTCCTGTCCAAAGTATTGAAAACAACTTGGATTTATGGAAAAGGGGATTAAACATTTTTCTTTCTTAATGATTTAAAAAGCATTAGAAAGGAGCTAATATAGATAGATAATGGACATTGTACAGCATAGAATTTAAACCTGCATAATTTCTGTTAAGCTGACAACCCGATTTTTTTTTCCCCCACATCTTGATAGTGATGCTTGCTATTTTCATGTACCTACAGGAATAGAAACATAATTGAGCAGTCTATAGATGATTTCTGCTGCTGATATTTTCACTTCCATATGTTGCATCTCTGTAAAGTGGGAAAATGCTGATCAAATTTTTTAACCTGAGATCATTGTCTCCTGTGGAGATAATATATATAACCAGTAAAATGCAACAAAGAGCTATATTGAGAATTTACTTCACTAGGAAAGTAAAGGCTTTGCTTACAAGGCTAAATATGAAGACTGTGAATCTAATATAAAAAGTTAAACAAAAATGTATTGCATTAAAACAAAATATAGGTTCTGCTTTACATCTACTGAACTATAATTATGTAATCAAGATCTTATGATCCATTAAACAAATGTTTCTTGATTACATGCTGTTTATGACAGTTGTTAATAGTCCTGTATGTACCTTGAGATTTAAACTGTTCCGTGGATTTTTTTGACATATAGTTTTTTCATTAATTTTTATCATTATTAAATGTTTATTAATACTTATATTTTACTTTCTGACTTCAGTTCTCACAGTTGTAAAACCAGGAAAGTGCCAAGCTTAGCTTCTACTTCCAGACTGAATTGTGTAACCCAAAGTAACTAATTATCATACCAATGGAAAGTGCAGTTTCATCTTATTCATAAAACTTTACAAACAGTATCCTGCCACAAATTTATATGAATATACTCTAGGTCAGAGACTAGAGCTTATGGTTTGAGAAAATTCTGGTTAAAGTAATTTACTTACTCAATTATATTAAGTGGCTCTGTAGGTGTTGTGCTGGGCCCTAGAGATTCTGTAATAAACAGGACAGACAAGTTCTTTGTTCTCTTGGAGCTAATATAGTAGTGACAACAAACAAAGTAAGCAAATTAGAAAACGGGATAATGTCAGGCATTTAGGTGATATGAAAACACCAAATTAGGGTGATGTGATATGATAGACACTGGCTCAGAGGGCTGTTCTAGAGTAAGTGAAATCACCATCAAAGGAAATCACCTTTGATAAGGTGATGTTTTAATTGAGACCCGAATCACACGAAGGAGCCAGTTAGTGAAAATTTCAGAGCCACGTATTCCAGGCAGAGTGACTAATATGTGCTGCAAAGGCCTTAAGGCAGGAACAAATTGTTTTGGAGGACCTAGAAGAAGTCTAATGTACTTATAGTGAGGAGAGAAAGAGTGATAGACTATGGGGTCAAGAGAAATAGGGATTTAAGTATGATGAGGTTAATGCCATGATCTGATTTATGTTTTAACAAGAGAATGGTCTGAGCTGTGTGAGGGATGGGTGAGTTCTGGAAGTAAGTGGAGAACTGGAAGATGGCTAGTATACGTGACTAGGTGAAAAATGGTGTTTTTTAAGGCAAAATTTGCCCACGAAGTTCTTTATGATGCTTATTTATAATTGTATATGAGTTTTTGAGAATCACTTTGTCCTAATAGATGCCGTCTGTCTGAGATACTTTAATAAGCCACCATGCCTGACCCAAAAATTCTGCTTTAAGACCTGGTTGCTTGGCTCTCTTTATAAAGGAACTTGTTTCTTCCAGGGCTGCTAATTGTCTGGCAGAGCATCTTATGCTAAGAAACTAATTTGTCATTCAGGGTGTTAAATACTTGTATATAAAATCTACATATTTTGGAATAATTTTTGTGCTGTAACTCAAGGAAGACACCATATTCCTAGTAGGATCTGATATAAAGAAACTATAAAGGACATTATATATAAGGTCATTCACTTGCAGAGGGAAAATAATGTCATGTATAGAACACAATATTCCTGATTGGATCATTCTAGGAAACCCAATTAATAGTAGAAGTTTTTAAATCATAGATAAAGGAGCATATTTATTTTAACTATTTACATATAAATTATAGTTGTATTTAATAAGCCACATACTCTGAGTTATTCTGATATAAGAAATTCTGTTAGGGCTTCCCTGGTGGCGCAGTGGTTAGGAATCCGCCTGCCAATGCAGGGGACACAGGTTCGAGCCCTGGTCCGGGAAGATCCCACATGCCGTGGAGCAACTAAACCCGTGCGCCACAACTACTGACCCTGCTCTCTAGAGCCCGCAAGCCACAGCTACTGAGCCCGCGTGCCTAGATCCCGTGCTCTGCAACAAGGGAAGCCACCCAATGAGAAGCCTGTGCACCACAACGAAGAGTAGCCCCTACTCACTGCAACTGCAGAAAAGCCCGCGGGCAGCAACAAAAGACCCAATGCAGCCAAAAATTAAATAAATAAATAAATAATAAAAAAGAAATTTTATTAGTATAGAAAAATTGGGATGTCTTCTGTGAAGAGTCCTGTTTTAATGTTAGCCATCTTTCTTAAGTTATTCTCCCTTGTCAAAACTAGCACGTAGGGGCTTCCCTGGTGGCGCAGTGGTTGAGAGTCCGCCTGCCGATGCAGGGGACACGGGTTCGTGCCCCGGTCCGGGAAGATCCCACGTGCCGCGGAGCGGCTGGGCCTGCGCGTCCGGAGCCTGTGCTCCGCAACGGGAGAGGCCACAACAGTGAGAGGCCCGCGTACCGCAAAAAAAAAAAAACTAGCACGTAAATGCTATTGTTTCCATTTTTTCTCATTACTTCTAGTTATAACATTTTTTCTTACAGTTTTTCATAATTATTAAATTTCCAGTTTTAAAATATTTACTTTTAAGTGGCATGTTTATTTGTGCCATTATTATGTTACACCATCTGCCCCTGGCTATATAATGTTAATAATAATTAAAGAAGTATTTTTCTCCATTATCTCTTTTTTTTATTTTTAATTTTTATTGGAGTATAGTTGCTTAACAACGTTGTGTTAGTTTCTTGCTGTACAGCAAAGTGAATCAGTCGTATGTATACATATATCCCCTCTTTTTTGGTTTTCCTTCCCATTTAGGTCACTACAGAGCACTGAGTAAAGTTCCCTGTGCTATACAGTATGTTCTCATTAGTTATCTATTTTATACATAGTATCAATAGTGTATATATGTCAATCCCAATCTCCCAATTCATCCCACTCCCCCATCATCTCTTACTCTTTTCATTAGAATTTGTTGACCACCTCTTTGTAAACATTTATTCACCTGAGTAGTTATTAGTTATTATTAGCAAGAATATTATGACTTTTAATGCAGAGATCTCAGAACACTTCTCTTGGTATTTGTCTTTATTGCAATTTTGCATATTCTTTTGGGGTGTTTAGATTATAGCTGCTTCTTACATTTCTTTAGATTGTTTTCTGAAGCAGAATACTAGAAGAGAAGTCCTGGCAGTTATCCAGTAGTTGATGTTTCAGTGGAAAGATAGAAGGAGCACAGCAGTTTGCAACAAGTTTGGCAAATATTATCATGTAAATGTATTGATGTTCTAAGGATTTTAGTGGCTTGGGTAGTTAACGTTGGTCTAATAGATTAAATTGTTGAATCCTCACTTATTTAAAGTAAACCTTATCTTTTGAAACCTCTTTAGCAATTTTTTCATTTCTAATACAAATAAGGTTTTCCCCCACTTGCTGGTTGTTACAGAATGGATTCTGAGATTACTTAAATAATTTGTAGACAAATTTTAATTTATTTTAATTATTGTTGTCTCACCTGCATAATCACACTGAATTAATTACTCTCTAGCGTCAGAAACCTAAGAAAAGGAAAAGTTAGCTAGCTGTAAGTCATAGTAGATGAGAGAGAGAAATGGCCTTATATGCTCTTTCCCCTAATGCTCTTACATCTGAATGCTCCTTCCTGAGGCAGCCGGCAAAGAATTAGCTATTAATAAGCTGTTGTGGATCAAGGCTTCATTGGTGCTGAATATTAATTTTTGTTCTTCTTGTGGAGAAAGTTAAGAGGTACTGAATTAGATCTAAAGACATCATCTGGTCAAGCAAACATGTACTGCCTTAGGTCTACACTCTGAACAAGGTTTAGCCCTTGCTAGCGATGCTAGCTTTTAACTGGAGCCCCTCCTTCAGGGGACTAATTTTTCTTTGGTTCAACTTCACTATCTTTCTTAGGGGAAAATAAGCTTTCAAAATAAAGTAGAAACTGAACTGATCTTCACTAGTCAACACATCAAATTAGCTGATACCCTTTATTCCCTTGGTAAAACAGTGGTTGCTGGCCACATTATTGACATGCTGACATTTGACAGCTAGTATGTTTGCAAGTTGAATTTTTTGCTTACCAAAGAGTTACTTGTATTTGATTCCAATCTGTTTATGTCAATGGTATGAGTAGGAAAAGAGGATTGTTTCTATAAAACTAAGTTACATGCCTTAGACTCAATGAAGATGGTGATTTAATTATTGCTTAATTTAGTAGCAGGTAAAAAAAAACACAAAAACTGTAAGACATTAGAAAATCTTGAAAAACACTAAACTTGCTTTGTAAATGTTTATAATTTTTTTTATTTCACTTCAAAGAAACAAACTAGAAGTTGTAGGTTAGGTGATCCCTTATAGGTATGCATTATGCAAGAAAGAAAAAAATTTCAGTCAGTGAACCTCGGTACTCAAGGGAAAGGTCTTGGATCTACGTCAAGATTGACAGACAATTATACATTTTAGACCTTAAGTTAAAAGGTAGTGCTTAAAATGTTTATATACAACACAAGTCCTTTTTTATTCTTTACATTAACTGACTTTGATTAACTGATCACTACTCTCCTGATCACAGTAGGGAAGAAATTTTACTGTACTATAAATCAGAACATTTCTCTGGCTGGATTTTGACTGATCTCTTTTAAATGATCTCTTGTCCAGTACACATACCAAGTGAATGTTCATATGACCTTGGTGTCTTTTCTTCAAGGCAGGGAATAATATATCTTGTAGCAGGAAGTCCCCAATGGACATACTGTCACTATCTTCTACCTCTTTTCATCCCAATTATGATTAGTCACTATAAGAACTTAAAGTTTTCTTTACTCCAGGTATGACCAAAGACAGCTCTTGAATGAGTGAAATATCCTTCAGTTTCTTACTCACTATGAATTTCTGGAGGCTACTTCCACATCCTCAAAAAACATAGTGTGAAATTACCTTTTCCTAGCTTTTTGCTCTCACTTTTCTTCCATGTTTTCATGAAGATGAAGCATTGTCATTTAGCAAGACTCAGTTTAATAGATTCATAAATGTTAAATTCATAGAAATAAAGACTTCTCAAAACTCAATAAAGGGGGCTTCCCTGGTGGCACAGTGGTTGAGAGTCCGCCTGCCGATGCAGGGGACATGGGTTCGTGCCCCGGTCCCGGAAGATCCCACATGCCGCGGAGCGGCTGGGCCCGTGAGCCATGGCCGCTGAGCCTGCGCATCCAGAGCCTGTGCTCCGCAACGGGAGGGGCCAGAACAGTGAGATGCCCGCGTACCGCAAAAAAAAAAAAAAAAAAAACTCAATAAAGGGAAAATGAACAACCCAATTTTTAAAAGGGTAAAAGATTTGAACAAAGATTTGACTAAAAAAGACACACGGGTGACAAATAAGTTCAGTGTCAACAATCATTAGAAAAATACAACTAAAACCATAGTGAGATACCTCTATACATCTATTAAAATGTCTAAAATTTAAAATATTGATCCTGCCAACCTTTGGCAAGGATGCAGAAGAACTAGAACTCTCATATATTGCTGGTAGGAATGTAAAATGGTACACCCACTTTGGAAAACAGTATCTCTGTTCCTTAAAATGTTAAACACAAACCCATTATATACTCCAGCCATTCTAGTCCTAGGTGTTTACTGAAGATAAATGAAAGCATATACGTTTATTGTACATGAATATTTATAGCAGCTCTTTGTCATAGCCCAAAACTGGAAACAATCCAAATGTCTATCAACAGGTGAATTGAATGAACAAATTATGGTATATCTATACAATGGAATATTCTACAATTAAAAGGAAGGTACTATTAATACATACAGTATGTATTGTTGGATGAATCTCATAGTAATTGCACTGAGTGAAAGATGAATAGATGAATCTCAGAGTAATTACACTGAGTGAAAGAAGCCACACACACAAAAAAAGTACATAATCTAATTGCATTTACATAAAATTCATAAAAATGCAAGCTAATCTATAGTGACAGAAAGCAGGACATAGAGAAGGGTGTTGGAGGGCCAAAAGGAAAGAAGTACATTGAGAAAATTTCCTTGGGTGATGAATGATATGTTCAGTGTTTGGATTGTGTTCATGGTTTCATGGGTATACACATATGTTAAAACTTAACAAATTCTGTGTATTGTATGTCATTATACATCAATAAAAGTGAAAAATTCAAACAAGGCTTAGTGTTCATCTATTTCAGGTCATTTACAGATAAGAAAACAGATTTTAATTAAGTCATTGAGAAAGCCAAAGACTAATTTTGGTAATGTGGATTTTTGGCATTGTGTTTTAAGTGACATAGAATATTAAGAAACAGAATATGCTACGTAATTTGTGAGTGGGTAAACCCAGGAGTTTTTTACAGACTTTTCCCTTATAGGAATATGCAGTAGGTTAAATGCAGAGGGTAGAAGCAAAATTGAGATGAACAGTCAAATGTTTAAAATAAAAGGAGAGGACAGATGCATTCCTTACTTTTTAAAATAGATTTCTCACATTTTATTTATTTATTTATACCTTGACTTGCTCTACAGAATTTGAGGTCACTTACAATGACAACGCATAGACTAGCAGACTAGCACCAGGGATATACAAATCAAAGTAGAAAGTAAAAAATCAAACATAGCCCTTATAATTCCTCAGTCCTGTAGCACCCACTTTCCAAAGTCCTTCACGAACCTCCTGTGGAACTAGGATTTTCAAGATAGAAGGAACCGTGGGACAGAGTTTTTAGTAGATTCCACAAATTAGTGAGGTTTCTTCCTTGGTGAAATAAGGTTAAAAATAAAATTTACTGTATCCCCCTCTTGGAAATTCATAATGCAGTATAATATACACATTTTATTTTTTAAAATTTATTTAT